TTATCTAATTGTATTGCTTCTCAGATATTAATTTAAAAAATTAAGTTGATTGTGATCATTAAATCCAACCACATATTTGTGATAACCTAAAAGTACATGATGTAATGCTAATTCAGCAAAAATATCTTTGTAATTTCAGGTTTCAGCAATTTATTGTTGGATTTTAGAAGTTCATGTTCCCTTGCCCTGGCTGGTGTGGCTCAGTAGATTGAGCAAGGGCCTGTGAACCAAAGAGTTGCAGGTTCGATTCCCAGTCAGGGCACATGCCTGGGTTGCTGGCCAAGTCCCCAGTAGGGGGCACATGAGAGGCAACCACACATTGATGTCTCTCTCACTCTTACTCTCTCCCTTCCTCTCTGTTTAAAACTAAATAAATAAAATCTTTTTTTAAAAAGTTCATGTTCCCAATACTTTATTTAAATAGAGTCTTGAGAACCATGAAGCATGGTTTTCAACAATTATCCCATTTTAATTGGTAGCACCCATTTACCGAGTAGCACTAATGCTTGGAAGCCATTTGTTGAAAAATATCCACTAATTCAGATGCTTTGATATTTTAAAAAATCTTTTCCCTCAACATAAACCTATTTCTGAATTAAGAAGTTTTACTAATATTAATGCTTCTGTGCCTAATCTCATTTACAATTGGAGAACTCTCACTTAAGTCTTCAATTTTTAAATATTTTCTTGAAATCAAAGGATTTAAGGGTGGATTAGTGTCTACCTAAGCCATATAACTGACTTTTGGATTTTTAAAAAATTATCTGGTCATGTCCATTCATCAACAGCATCAAATGGCTCACTTTTAAAGTTCTCCCACAAAACAACTTTAATTTGATAATCAACAAATCCATCTTTACAAACTGCAAAACTAAACAAATATACATTATTTGACATTTCCACATTGAAATGAACTCCCTTCAACATGGTCTTTTAAAAAATCTTTTAGCCCTGGCTGGTATGTCTCAGTAGATTGAGTGCTGGACTGTGAACCAAAGGGTCACTGGTTCGATTCCCAGTCAGAGCACATCCCTGGGTTGTAGGCCAGGTCCCCAGTTGGAGGCGTGTGAGAGGCAAACACACACTGATGTTTTTCTCCCTCTCTTTCTCCCTTCCTTCCCCTCTCTAAAAATAAATAAATAAAATCTTTGTTAAAAGTCTTTTATTTGGTCCCCAATAATTGCAAAACCTATTCTCTTTGTGCCAAATTGAAAGTCTATTCACCACTCAGCAGAGAGCAATATAATGTGGAATCCTCTGTCTATACAATTAGCATTGAAGAACAAATGTTTCTAACAAGTATATCATTAAAAAGCATTTGCACATTAGCAACTAGTACAGTTTTCACTTAACACCTCTATAAACAAGTTTTATGTATTCAAACACAGATAAATAAACAACCCAATTACATTCTAGAGCTCCTTTCAAGGATGTCTAGTATAGGAAAGAAATATTCCATCTTCTAACTAATGTTGCTTTTGTCTAAGGGGTTGCTTCAAATCCTCTGTGAAATGAGAAAGCAAGGTAGACGTACATAAATAAATATGAATACAATTACTAATGTAGCAGCTTATTTATTGAAATGTGATTACAGAAAGAAGTGAAAAGCATTTGTCAGAGGTGTTGGCGAGTCTCCATAAGACAGAGGCGAGATGCCCACAGGTCTGAGAACGCAGGTACAGAGCCCAGACACCTCCAGCTGAACCCCAGCATTTTTATGTTAAATTAGCCTTTAGCAGGCTCCTCAAACTCTCTGAATCCCAATGGCCTCTTCTGTAAAATGGAACTCATAAGAGTACCTTCCTCTCTGGGGTTTTAGAAGGATTATATAAGATTATCCAAGCAAAAGCACCTAGGATGGGACCTGATGGTGACAGAGCAAACACTCAAAAAATGTCAACTGTCATCATCACCATCGTCTCGCCGTACTGTAAAAAAAAAACAAAAACAATTGAATGTAAAGGTAGTTGAATAACTTCAATTTCTCCATACACAAACGGGACCGAAGGGCGGACCCCAAGCCTGCAAGTGAGCCCCTATATCCAGCCCATGAGTCTCGGCCCCTGTTCTTTAGACATTAGGCTGCCTCTCACTGCCAGCACACATCTCGTCGGAAGAACCAAAAGAACAATCTGGTTACTCACGCTATATCACATTAATATGTAAATTCATCACTGCAGCAAGAGAATCACAAACAAGTAGCTCATTCATGACTCATTTTATTCATGACAGTCTCAAACGCGTCACCCCGAAATTGGATTTTATAGCTACAGCGAAATGAAGTAAACACATTCACATCCAAACTCATTCAGCGGTGTCCAAAAACATCAATATAAACAAACTCTACCCAAGAGGAGAAGATACGGCCAGTCCAGTAAACATGGATTGTCAAATATTGAGGAGAAAATGCATCCTTATTTTGAAGAGAACATGTGCAGACCATGAGCAAGCACTATTCATGTACACGAGCAGAGTCGTCCTGTGTTATGACTACATTCACTCACTGCACATGGGTCAGTCTTAAGAACATGGGAGAAAGGAAGTTTTATCCTCAAAAAAAAATCCCTCATAATTATTGCAAAACTTCTGGATAATAAAAAGATGAAAGGGTACGATGGAATGGGGTAGGTTTTTCTGCCTAAGATGAATCTCCTATTAAAGGAGAGAACTCCTTTTTCCTCTAAGGTTGGTTTATAATTAGAAATTAGATTCCTCAATAATTCAATGACCGAAACCCTTATTAAAATCAAATGACCTTTTTAATTAAATTCTCTGCTAATATATAGGCTCTGCCAAGCAGGTGTCATCTCCACAGATAATCAACCCTTTATATATTTATTAAATGAGTTTTCCCCTCTTTGTTCATCCTTTTCTTTGATTTGCCCTTCTGACAGTGATTAATTATTGGTAAAACTTTAAAAAGTATAACATTACTAATGTATCTGGTAAGTGCTCTGACTTGAAGAATATGTATAATGTCCCTATTTTTCATTCTACTATGAAAAAATGTTCCAACTAAAGTATTTTATTCTTCCATATCTCTTTTTTAAAATTCTCATTTCAACAGTATACAGCTTATGAGGGGAAGTCTGTACAATTTTATTATGGCCTCAAGAAGTGCACTAGGCTGTGAAAACCTCAGGAAGAGAATTAAGACACGTACATAAAACTGACATTAGCTTCAAAAGCTCTTGCCACCAACAATGTATTTAGAATATAGGCTCATCCAATTAGCTGCATGAACGAAGCATAAAAATGTATAACTGAATTTGAATTACAATTTTAGTCTTTAAGTATTCGTTCAAAAATCAGAAGTAGTTAAAGGACTATTAAGGTATCATGTTAAACGCTCTGGAGTTTGAAACCCCAAAAACACATTGTCATCGAACATCAGTCTTCCTGTGGGCACCGCTTTCCATTTGGTGAATTTCATCAGCAGTAAATCAAAGACAGTAGAAACCTTCGAGTATGTGCCTGTCGTGTGTACGTGTGTGAAATGCATATTCCTCCAGCACGTCATCATATGATGACGTGGGCACAATGCTTTACCGTCGTCACTCGTCTCATCACTTAAATAATCGATCTCACCAAGGCGAAGTGATTAAACGGCTCACTCAACAATGCCAGCCAACTGTCGCAGTTTTAGTGTCTTATTAGGTTTCCTGGCTTTTGCGCTCATGTGGGGGAGGGGCGACGAAACAGAGTGACGTCTGAGAGAGAGCATCGTCTGAGAGAACAGCAAATGCACTTGGTGGATACTAACATTCCCAAAGGAGGTGTGGGAGTATCTAAATCATCGCCAAACACTAGCCAAAAAAAAAAACAAACAGGTCAGGATCCTTCTGAACCCCAAACCACTAACCAGCCGAATAACGACTAAAGCACAACCTCTGGGTCGCCCCCGCGCCCGCCCCCCAGCCCACTCCCGGGCTGTCTCCTGGTACCTGGAAACAGACTTCAGCTTTCCTGACGCTTCCAGACGGGCTCGTCTCAGCCGACGTCTGAGCTCCTCAGACCAGGCCCCTTAAGGTAACTTCACCCCTCCTGAACGGCTCGGTGGAAGAAATGCTGATTCCCCATTCAAAAATAAATTATTTAGCTGCTTCTGCGTTAACGCGAGTCACGGAGAAACCCCTAGCTCCAACTGAGATGCAGCCCGTTCTCTTGAAGACTCGCGGGGCAAACCAGAGCTCGGGGAATGGGAAGATGTGGCCGGGGGAGGGGGCGCAGGGGGAGGGCGAGGGAGAGAGGAAGACGCCGGTCAGGTCGGAGATGACGCCGGGATGACACGGCACCTGGACAGCCCAGGTCCCGGGCGCCCGCGGGCTCCGAGTCCGAGCCTCGGTTTCTCCGGCGTGCGCCCGGGGCCGTGAAGAGGCGCGCGCGCGAACACACCACCTTGTATTCCGGACTCGCGGGGAGGAGAGTGGTGGGGAAGCACCGCTGGGTATAAAGCCTCACCACAACAAACGAGGTCTTTCTCCTCGCACCCCGCCCCCCCGCCCCCCGCCCCCCCCCCTCCGCCAGGGGCAGGCGACGACTGTCTCGAACAGCAGACACAGCTGAGAACAGCGGGGCATCTCCGCGGGGGAGCAGGGGAAGAAACCCCACAGCCCCGCGAGCCCCTCGGGGAGGCCGGCAGGAATCGGAGGGATGGGGAGCCGGGAACACAGAGGACAAGGCACTGGGACGTGCCCGCGCGCGCTGCGCATCTGGCCGCCCGCGGCTGGCGTGCCTGGCTGGGGAAGTGGATCCCGGGGCGGACCCCTCCCCGACTCCCGGCCGGAGGACGCGGAGGAAATGGCTTTGTATCGCAGGATGAAAGGCAGACAGGAGGGCCACCCCGCGGCGCGGGGGGGGCAGAGGATGCCCGCAGCGGAGGACCCCGCCCGCGCCCCAGCCCTCCGCCGCTCTGCCCCCGACCCGGCCGGCAGCAGCCCCGGGCCCCCGTCGGGCTCCAAGGGCCAGCGCAGGTCGCCGCCCCCCGTGCCCGCGCTCACCTGCCCACGAAGTTCTCCAGCACCGAGCTCTTGCCGGCGCTCTGGCCGCCCACCACCGCGATTTGCGGCAGCTCCAGCAGGCAGCTCTGCCCCAGCGCTGAGAAGGCGTCCTGCAGACGGTTCACCAGGGGGATCAGCTCCTCCATCTCCCGGTTCCCCATCCTGCCCGCGCCGCCCGCAGGCCGCCGCGGGGCTCAGCCAGCCCAGTCCAGCGCCGCCGCGGGATCCACCGCCCGCTGGCCCCAGCTGGGCTCCTGACAGCTAACAGCCCACAGCGCGCCTGCGCGGGCGGGCGGGGCGGGGCCTGGCGCCGACCCCGCCCCGCGGCTGCCCCGCCGACCCCGGGCTCCCAGACAGGCGCCCTGCGCCCCCTGCGCACGCACTGCCTCCCAGCTGCGGCCAGATGCCACCGCCTCCGTCTCCTGCGGCCGAGGCTCAGAGGCAAAGTTTCAGGCCCGGGTCCGCACCCAGGCGACTCTGCTCCCTTCCAGCAGCTACACTGGGAGTCAGGGGAACGCTCTGCCTCCGGTAGCCACTCAGCACTGTTAGCAGCAGCAGCAGCAGCAGCAGCAGCAGCAGCAGCAGCAGCGGCGGCGGCGGCGGCGGCCTCCAGTGCCCGGTCCCCAGGGTACAAGTCCCAAAAGGAAATCTCACGTTCTCACGCCCCGCTCCAGAACCCGGCTCTTCCAGGAGTGGCCAGTCTGTTGGAGTCTAAGTTCTGCGCTCTGGCATCCAAGTCAGGCCCGGCGTAGTCTAACTCTAACCAGTTATTCGATTTTGATGACTCCGTCCTCCCTGCCTGCCGGCCTGAGCTAAGGTGGAGTCCGTGGTGCTTGCCCCCTCACCACTCTCCCTCTCCAACCTACCAAACTCATCTGTCCTTTGAGAGTCCTCACGCCATTTCTCCTCCATACCTACCCGCCTCTATACGGTTCGTCAACAACCATGACCGTGTCCTCTCGACCCATTCAGTTAAATGTAGCAAATTCGTGGCTGCACGGCTGGCCCGCCTCTCCCTCCTGTGCCTCAGACTGGCCTCCTCTGGGCCCTGACCTCACTTCCTAAAGGTCCCTCAAGTCCCTCTGCCTTAACTTATTCAAAACGTAACTCAGCCTTTTCAGCCTCAGCTTTTAATGCTATAAATTTCCCTCCAGTCCTAAAAAGACTTGTATAAAAAAAATCCATAATAACTAAAAAACTAAGAATCCCAATGTCCATCAAAAAGCGAATGCATAAACAAGCATGGGATGTCTACAGCGCAGTGAAACAATCTCAGCAACAAGGAGGCGTGAACTTCTGATGCAGCAATGACAGTGTGTCTCAGATGCATTGTGCTGACTGAAAGACGCCAAAGCACATACCGTGTGACTCCATATACAAAGCTCTAGACCAGGCAAAACTATTCTGCGGTGATGGCGATCAGAACAGCAGTGGCCTTTGAGGGGTGCAGATTGACTGCAAGAGGCATGGGACACATTTGTGGAGGCAATGGAAACCTTCTATATCATGATCTGGGTGTGAGGATACATTTGCTAGAACTCATCGAATTCGACGCATACCATCTGTGCATTCCATTGTAAATTAGACCTCAACTTTTTTAAGTGAGAGAGAAAAACAAATTAAATTGAACATATCCTCACCTCTACTGAAGTGGGCCCGTGTTGGCAAGCCAGCCCAGCATGCCTTTTCTGAGAGTCCTTCCTCCATCCACCACATGGCTGTGGCCAGAGCATCATGACGATAGCAGGGCAGGAAGGGTGCCTAATTGTGCCCTGGCCACAGCCTCACACATCAGGGGACACCTGACCCAAGTTGCAGCGATTAGAGAGAGCCCTTTCCAAGGACTATAAATGTGAGAGGGAGCAGAAGAGGCAAGGAGAGGGATTTGTCTTTGTCTGAGTGACTGAACTATGGTACATGTAAAATCTGGGCTATAAAATCTTGAAACTGCGGTTGGTAACGTTCTCACCGACAAGGAGGAGATGCGAAAGATGCTGGTCTTCGAGGAAAGAGAAAATGGAAGGACAGAGAGGAGCAGGGGGGAAGCAGAGAGCAATCCTGATGGAACGAACCTGGGTCCTCTTTCCGGTGCATTTCTGACGCTCCGCTACAACACCGCCAACAGTCCCCCGAGCCGGCTTCCCTTCAAAAGCTGACTACAATCCCCCTCCTTGCCTCACCTAGTTCAATTTGCATTTTTGCTTGCAACCAAAGAATCCCAATAAATATACCCTCCAGTGTGCTCCCTACCTCAGCAAGAGCCCCTCCCCCAGTCCCAATCTACAATCTGGATGTCAATCTAATTCCTTTTCTCTCTCTGCTTCATCCGTGACCACAAGTCAGTTCCCAAATCATGCCCATCCCCCCACCCCAGGCACTCACCTTCTCCTCTCCATCTTGGCTGCCAGGGCCTTGTTTGGAACTACCACTTGCTGCACCCTCTCCTCTGCTTCCCTGAAGAGGCCCCCAGAGCAGATCCTCATGACTGCACTTGACACATGGCATTGTCTCCAACCTACATGTCTCTCTTCTCCACGAACTTGGTAGGCAGAATAACGCTCCCCCTAGCAGATGTCCCCATTGCAATCCCCAGAACCTGGGAAAACGTTACCTGGCAGGGCAGATGGGGCGTTCCAGGTGTGGTTGAATCAGGGGCCTTGGGATGGGGAGCTTATGCTGGACTATCTGCATGGGCTCAGTTTCCCCACATGCTCCTTAAGAGCCTTTCCTGCCATGTCAGAGGGAGATGTGACTAAGACGTGGTCACAGAGGTCCACTTTGCTGGCTGTAAAGATGGAGAAAGAGAGGCCACAAGCCAAGGGGTGCAGGCAGCTTCCAGATGCTGGAAAAGACAAAGAAACAGACTCTGCCCTAGAGCCTCCAGAAGGACCACAGCCTGCCAACACCGAGATTTTAGCCCGGTGAGATCGCTGCTGGACTTCTAATCTGAGGAGCTGTAAGATCATAAATTGGTGCTATTTTAAACCACTAAGCTGTGGTCATTGGTCACAGCAGCCATAAAAAACTGGTACAGCTAATGACAAGCTCCTTCAGGACAAGAGATCAATCTTGAGGATTCTCAGTGCCCAAGCACAGTGCTTGGCCCTGAAAACTGCAGTCTGCTGGAAACCCACATAAACAAATTATTGCAGCACACGTAGTAAGTATTCCGAGGGGACTATGGACCGAACGGCGTCTCCTCAAACTTCTCATTGATTGAAGCCCCAACCCTCAGTGTGGCTGTAGTTGGAGCAGAGAAGTAATCAAGATTAAATGGGGTCATAAGGGTGGAGCCCTAATCCAATAGGATTAGTGTCCCTACAAGTGGAGACACCAGGGCCCTATCTTTCTATTTTTCTTTTTTTTCCTTCTTTCCTCCCTCTCTCCCTCCCTCCCTCCCTCCCTTCCTCCCTCCCTTCCTTCCTTCCTTCCTTCCTTCCTTCCAACCCAATAGAAAGGCAGCCATCTCTAAGAGAGGAAGAGAGTCCTCATGGGGGGACTGAATCAACCAGCACCTGGACCTTGGACATCCCAGCCTCCAGAATTTTGGGAAAATAAATTTCTCTTGTACTAAGCCACCCCATGTATGGCATTTTGTTACGACAGCCTGAGCACAGTGAGACACAGGGTTTGTGTCAAAGAATAGGAGATGGAAATCCGGGAGTAACAGCTCCTTCTGGAGAGGGTCATGGAAGGCGTCAGAGAAGAGGTGACCCGGGGGGGCGGGCTTCGATGGGCACCTCTGTCACTCCGCTACAGGCTGCAGGGAACGCGAGAGCTGCGGAAGCTCCAGCCCGGGCGTCCTAATGTGGGAGACGATGCGGCCATGCGTTAGACAGAGAGCGTGTAATCGTTACATAAAACAGAAGTTCGTGAGCACTCCAGCCATGCATGCCACCTCTGTGCTCCTGGAGGCGGTTCAACTCAGTCCCTCCCACCGACTCCAAGGAACCACCCTGAACTCAGTTCCCTAGCTAACTGCTTTCCTCCTTTTCTCCCCACTGCCACTGTTAGTCCTGCAACAACACGAAACCGAGAGGAACCTGGCACACACAGACCCGCTCAACGCCCTGTTCTCGCAAGTTACTCCAGGTCAAACGAAGAGCGAGAGGAAACTGCGAGGGGGAAAACAGAAGCGAAGTTTGGGCAGCGGGACCACCTGCTCCCTGGAGGGTGGGCTAAAGGCGGGAGGGGAGCCTGGTCGGGCACCCCAGCTCCCAACTGCGTCACAGATCACCTGGGTGCTGTTTCGGTGCCGAGTAACGAAGGCCACCTCCCGCTCTCTGGCCGCCACACTTTTTCCACAGCCCCTTCTGGGCGTGGCTCTCTGTCAAAGAAGTTAGAACTGTTTCTGAACGGATCAGAGCTCTTGTATCTAAATGAGCATTTTCCTTCAGGGTCATTTTGAGAAAGGACTGGCTGACTGCAGAGATACTGCATCTCACACAGTATCATGCAGCTCCTCCTTTGAAAATGAAGGACCTCACCCCCCAAAATAACACTCAGTGTTCTACGGTCACACGTCATTTTCAGGAACAGAATATCCTTCCTGCTGCACTCCTACCTCATTCACAGGATCCACTCAAATAACTTTTAGCTAATTCTAAAAATTAAATCTATGCAATATATATTTTATACAACATACACATGGTGTATACACATAATTTTTAAATATATTTTATTGATTATGCTATTACAGTTGTCCCATTTTCCCCCCTTCATTCCCCTCCACCCTGCACATTCCCTCTCCCCTCTCCCACCCACATTCCCCCCCTTTAGTTCATGTCCGTGTGTCATAAGCTCTTTAGCTTCTACATTTCCCATACTGTTCTTGCCCTCCTCCTGTCTATTTTCTACCTACCATCTATGCTACTTACTCTCTGTACCTTTTCCCCTTTCTCCCCTTCCCACTGCCCTGTTGCTAGCCCTCCATGTGATCTCCATTTCTGTGGTTCTGTTCCTGTCCTAGTTGATTGCTTAGTTTGCTTTTGTTTTAGGTGTGGTTGTTAATAACTGTGAGTTTGCTGTCTTTTTACTGTTCATATTTTTTATCATCTTTTTCTTAGATAAAGTCCCTTTAACATTTCATAAAATAAGGGCTTGGTGATGATGAACTCCTTTAACTTGACCTTATCTGAGAAGCACTTTATCTGCCCTTCCATTCTAAATGAAAGCTTTGCTGGATAGAGCAATGTTGGATGTAGGTCCTTGCCTTCCATGACTTGGAATACTTCT